TTTACTACCTGTTAAATTGTGTTATATTATCGTACGTTTGTCCTAAAAATGAGTTAGTATGCACAAATAACTTCCTGAGTCTGGAAGTCTAACATTCCTTAGACTTCAGCACAAAAAAGTACTTCACAGAAATTAAAGCCAGGCCGATGTAGAATTTTTAAGGCTGATAGTTTGTAATTAAAAAATCCGATATATAGGACGATATTTTTTTTATATTTCTTTCAGACATTAAACACAAAGCATTCTATTATTTTTATTTATTTATTTATTTTTTATTAGTCCTTACTAAGATAAAATGACAAGATAAGAAGATTATTGCGACAAGTCATGGATTTCTCGTCTTGCCAACAGGGAAGTTGCAGAAGGCCCTCTAGTGGAGAAACTATGAAACAGCAACACTCATAGCATGCTTAAAGGTTATTTCTCCCGCCTTCCCTTTACTTTTTAAATGCCGATCACGGCATATCGGCAGATAGCCGGTATCAACTATCCTCTTGTTATTTATGTGTTATATGAAACTATATAATATATGGAAATTGTTAACCTGAAATATAAAGTCCATAAATATATAAGATCTTAAAATTTTTGTGTTCATTTTACAGGATTACCTTTCTTGTTCATACTGGCATCACTTTGTTGTTTTTAAATTTATTTAAGTGATCTAGTTTCAGCTCGGGTGTAATCAAAGGGTCATTTAGAGCCAATGCTGATGCTGGAATAGTTTCATTTAGACAATGCAAGTGAATATTTCTTTTAACCCTTTAAGACCTACCATAGAACCAAGTCCGCCAGAGCTTATATTATATTTTTACATGCTGTGGAGCCATTTTTGGGAGCATTTCAAGTTGCTATACATCAATACAACCATTATAGCCCAAACTTTAATAATATGCATGCATTAGGTGCATAGTAATTACATAAATTGCAAAAAAGTGCAATAAACTACAAAAAAATTGAAAATCGTTTTTGTTTTTTTAACATATATTTCTAGTTAGAGAAATATAAGAGGCTCATCCCTCAAAACTGTAAATACAAAAAAGTTGCAAAAACTAGTTTCCCACCACAGGAAATTTATTTTGAGTGTCTTCATAGTTTTATTTTTGAAATACACCAATTTTTATATACTGCAGGAAAAACGAAAAAAAATATTATACTGCAAATTTGCAAAATAACAGCATATGCATCAAAATAAACTATTTCCAGCAGTGCAATATGAGTCCTAAGCATCCCAGAAACGACACAGAAAGTCATAAAGTCAAACATAACTTTTTAAAACACAAGTATAGGCTCATAAGGCCCCGATCGTAAAAAACTACATTTCCGCAAAATGACGTTCGCTTCCGGTTTCAGGCAGGGCAATGCGGTCATGTGATAGTTCGCGCTGATGGACTTAGGAAGTGTTACAAACAGCTGATCGGACCGGCGAAGCGTGTTTCTGGAATATCATGTTTTTGTTGCTGCAAGTGATTTTTATGCAGTTTTTGCAAAGCTATATGTGGAAGGAAACCGTGACCTAGGACAAGCTGATGGCATAAGATGTAAGTACAACTCCTCCGGTTTGATATGCAAAAAAAATGATTGCGCTAGCTTACGTGGTTGCAGAGCTACCGGGATTTAAAAATGGTTACGCAAAACAGAGCGTGCCCGCTCCGATCGGCTGTAAAGGGTTAAAGGGGAAATGTTCTTTCCTTAGAATGCCGCTTAGGAGCGCGACGCAAAGACTGCAACTTTGAAATGACGAAGAAATCTTGTATCAGCAGGCGAAGTTATTACAGCAAACCAGGCAAAATCTGCCTTTCATATGACATCGTGATCAAATGTGAATCTGTCTGTTATGAATAATAAATTCAGAGGATCACCACTTAGAATGACTTGAAAGTGTGTGTGTGTGTGTGTGTGTGTGTGTGTGTGTGTGTGTGTGTGTGTGTGTGTGTGTGCTGAAGGTCGAGTGGAGAAAGTGGCTGAACCTCTACCAAGATTTGCAATTCAGTCAAAATCTCGAATTGCATTGAATCCGTTTTAATTTTTTATTTATTTTTGTAAGAATTTGTGAGGTTCTGATTTACTCTCTTCTGCTTCCAGATTACTGAATGTGTTGGAGGTCATAGCTCCGTTCAAGCACTTCAACAAACTCAGAGAGTTTGTCCAGATGAAACTTCCGCCTGGTTTTCCTGTCAAACTCGGTATGTGAAGCGACCTGTCATTGCATTCCTGTGAGTAGATGAGTTTCAGAAGCAGGATCACCAATAACCTTTTTTTGCGTGTGTTTCCTGCCTCACAGACATCCCCGTCTTCCCCACGATCACAGCGACCGTCACCTTTCAGGAATTCCGTTACGACGAATTCGAAGAGTCCATTTTCTTCATCCCCGCCGATTACAAAGAAGATCCCAGTCGTTTCCCAGACCTCTGATCTGTAAACGGGGATATGGCCAGCAAGTTTGGGAGTGCAGACAAAAAAAGGAATATTGTGTTGTTTTATTCTGTATTTATTAGCTGTGAAAAGGAAGGGGCGGGTGGGGGCCGGTCTTAGTGATCAGTTGCTCTGTTGGCTGATGGATCCAAAGCAAATCAATGCAAGCAGGTGTTAGAGCGCCACCTCACATGTAGATGCTTCGGGAGCCGTTTTAGTGAAATCGATGATAGCTTTCATTGTACTCGCTGTTCAACAGAGCAGTTAAACCCACTGCTCCATGCTGCTGTTCTCTACTCTGAAAGCTGTCAGACTTCATCGTCACTATTTAAATATTTCCCCTCATCTTCAAGGACAGAGAACTGACTTCCCATTCTTGAAAGTGCACTGACGCCCTCGTCTGTAAATAATTCACGTCTGTACTTCACAACAAAAAGAATAGCAGATATAGCTATATCCTCAAACTGTGCTTAATATTCATTTATATATTATCTGTAATATATAGAGAGAGATGGACTCAAATGAGTAACACTGTGTAGCAATACATTTCCGGTACTTAAGAATGTTTTTAACCAGCTGGGATAAGGTTTAGCATTAAAGAAGACCTCCATTGTTACAGTACGATATCCGAGCCTTTTCCCTGCGCAGGGACGCAGTCTCCTGCATCTTCAGGTTAGCTCATGTTACCTCTCGGCTGTCTCTCCATGTCTGTCGTGATCGTATGTGCTCAGTGTGTGAGTGAGTAACTGTACTGTACCAGGGGTTGTTGTGTGTACGTTTGTGAATGGGAGAACCCAGGTGAGATATCAGGTAAACTGTTCTTAGTTTAACACTGCACTGATAAGAAGTATATTTAAGGCATGCTCTGGCTGTGTTGGCCTCCTGGATCACATGCTTCTTTAAAGGTATATTCTCTGTTCTACTACCTGCAGGCTGGCTGGTACTTAAGGAGAAACTGGAAATTAGAACACTGACTCTTAGAAAATGTTTTAGTGCTTATAAATTCTCCTTGATTGTTGTCTGCATATGATTATCTTTTTATATATATATCTATATGTATACATATATAAATGCAAGTAGAGGGAACTAAGCTGTGAAGTTGATCGTTGCTGGATCTCTCAACTCTCCAGATAAGACATTATCTGATCCATTGAGCTGTCTGGCTTCAGCTAATATGTACTGCAACCATACCTACTTCACTTCCCTTTAAATAAAGCACCAGCATCATCTTTCAACTGACTCCGTGTTTGTAATAAAAATTTTATGAGGCTTCCAGAGGGGTGGACAAATATTTTGATATACTGGAGATTCTTATCGCTTCAGTGGGTATTTTAGGTCAAATCTGGCGATGCTTCAAGACAATATTGTAGTCTGTTTATTAAAGAGGTGAGGCTAAGAAGGGAGAGCTGGTTTTATCCCAAGATACTAAAGATTATAAAATTTCCCCTGATTTATCGTCAGTGTGTGAAGACGCAATAAACTAGCAGAGCAGGGTCAGTTTGGCTTCAGTGTTTAGTGCAGACATTGGAAAATAAAACTCGTCATTTTATCTGAAAAATATTTAATTTCTCAGAGCCTGGGCTTCTTTTCACTTTAATATGAAAGATTTAATATATTCAACATCCTAAAAGATGTCTAGAAACCTATGCCAGATTAGTCCAAGTTAGGGTTTTAGACACAAGTCCCAGAGACCAGAATTAGCCCAGCAAAGACTCCGTTCTGGCCGAGCTTAAGAAAATGTGATGGTATGCTTAGATTTTCAACTTTTACCCGTCTTATCATCGGTTTTATCGCTTTTCCTGTTGATCAATATTATAATGCAAATTTGCAAAGAAAACAGCACGTGCATCAAAATAAACCATTTCCAGCAGTGCAATTTGAGTTCTAAGCATCCCAAAACTATTCAGAAAAGCATGAAGTCAAACATGACTTTTAAAAACACCAGTATAGGCATATAAGGCCCGAAGGTAAAAAACAAAGAGGAAATGGTAAAAAAAAAAAAGAAAAAAAAAGGAAAAGATGCCACTTCCGGTTTCAGCCAGGTAATGGCGGACATACGATAGTTCGCGCTGACGTCTATTCCAACGTAGGAAGTGTTATGAACAGCTGATCGAATTGGCAAAGCGTGTTTCTGGAATATTATGTTTTCCTGTTGATCAAGCCACGACACCGAAGTACACAAGCATTTTCTGTGAATTAATGAAAACCATATGTTCTAAATTTATAATTACACAACTTTATTTAAATGGTCCGGCCCACTTCACATCAAAGTGGGCTATATGTGGCCCACATGTAAAATGATCTAACTGAACTGGAAAATTTATGTTTAGAAATCCTCCATCAGCATTAGTTTTATGCCAATAAAGACTTTATGTAGTATTGCTGCACTGGACCTACGTGATGCCAAAGGTTAGCATTACTAATTTAGGCGCATCTGCCTTTGACTAGTTTGAAGGCAAAATTGTCTCTGTGATCAAACAGCTGAACCATGTCTGTGATTTAAGTGTTTTTAAACCACATGTGAGGATTTTCATATCTGTATCATTAGCCCCCCCAACCTGAGGTGGAAGTTATAAATTTTCACAGTCTTAGCTCTTTAAATAAGCTTTAATATATAAAAGAAATCCTTGATAAAACAATCAGTACTCTCAGATAACAAGAAGCTAAGCTAAGAAGCTTGCATTTTTGGTGAAGACAAGAGACCCGTGCATCACACCACCCCACACAACAGAAATGAAAAAGGTTCATATGTAAAGACAAATAAAAAAAGAAATCTGGTAACACAAGCTAAAGAAACGCAAAGCAAGCCTACTTCCAGTTGTAATCTATTACATCTGTAGCAGCAAAGAGCAGAAAGACCACTTACAGTAAATGTGACAAACCGAGAAAAATGTCAGGGCAGACGAATTTTAGCATCAAACATTTGCAAAAGGGCACGCTTCCCTCCTGTGATAGAAACTGATACATTTCAAACAATTCACATTTTCAGATTCAGCCCAGTAGGAAGGGGGGAAAGATGTAGCTTTTTCACAACCAACATGGAGGGAGAATGTGGGGAAGGACGGGACGGACGAGTCAGTCGCTGACGTCCATGTCCTCTTCGTGGCGATCATCGGCACCGTTAACTTTGGCCTGCTTCGCGGAACGTGCTGTGCCATTACCTTCTACCGACCGAGGAGACAAAGCAGAATCGTCCGAGTCCTTCCTGTCGCCTCGCTCCTTCTCGCTGTCGTATCCTTGCTCTTCCTCATCGTAGTCTCTGGTGATCTGGGAAAAGAAGCCGATGCATGAGACACCTCGAAAAAGTAAAAAAGTACAAACTCCCTCCGACTGGCTAAGATTAGAAGAGTGATGCTCACAGGGTCCAAAACCACAACACACCAACCTTAACATCTTTCTCTGCATCTGATTTCCGGTCACGTTCCCTTTCTTTGTCTTTACTCTTCTTTTTCTTGCTGCTGGAGCGCTCCCGTTCTTCACGGCCGCGCTCTTTATCGCTCCTACGGTCCCGGTCCCTTTCCTTCTCCCTCTTCTTCTCTTTTTTGTGTCTGAACAGAATGGAAAGTGAAAAGTCCAGAATAAGATTAGTAACGGATATATGTTTACTTCTCCTTTAAAAAAAAAAAAAATCATTCAGGAGAAACTTAAAATACACATTCAGTGCAGCCAGAAGGTATTAAACACATCAGACAACCTTCGAGGAGATGGAGACGGGGAATTTTTCCTTTTAGGAGACTTCTTAGGAGAACGGCTGGCGCTGCGACTTTTCCTGCGTCTCCTGCAAACAGAACAAAATAATTGAAGTTTTGCACATACGCAGGATATTAGAAGCAGCTGAAATAAATACATTTGACTGAAAACCAAAAATCTAGTATTTCATTAATAACTGTCATATGCATTAAATCTTATTTCCTGTTAAAGCATTAGCAGCTTTATCGTGATTAGGGAAGTACTATACTTAAAAACGTACGTTTAACTATTCTGTTCCTGTTGATTTTGTACTTTGGTAAATCTGACCATAGAACAGTCATTAAATTCTCTTAATATTAAAAGGTCTTTACCAGAATAGAATTCAAGCACTTGTCAGCTGAAGACCTTGGCTGTACTCACCGGCTCACACTGCGTGACCTCCTCGCTGTGCTGTAGCTTTTGGGTGGTGTTTTGGATTTCCTTCTCCCTGCATCTTCTTTCTTTCGCTCTCTGTAGATAAAAAGAAAACATGCATATAGATTTAGATCTCAGGTTTCCCAGCTGCAGACCTCAGAGTACAGGTTCGAGGACAGGTTTTTACACAGTTAGCACACCTGGATCTGCTGGGAGATCTCCTCCCTCTGTCTCTAGAGTGGGGGTGTCTCTTGCGCGGGCTTTTGGAGCGTCTTCTGCTTCTCGATCTGGATCTGCGCCTCGACCTGCTTCTGGTTCGCCTGAAACCATTCATTCACAACATTTAACTTTGCTGTTCATGTGAAAACAAACAATACAAAGTTTCCTCATCTCAGCTCTGCAGATGATAAGTTTTAGTAAATCACCTGTGTCTTGAACGCGATCGGGACCTCCTCCTTCTGGATCTGGACCTGGACCGAGAGCGCTTCTTCTTTGTCTCCTTATCTGCACGTCAGGAAAATGAAATACAGGTCAAGTTCCAGTACTCTGTGTTTTATCCTTTAAGACCTACCATAGAACCAAGTACGCCAGAGTTATCTTTATATTTTTACATGCTGTAGTGCCATTTTTGAGAGCATTTCAAGTTGCTATACATCAATACAACCGTTATAGCCCAAATTTTAATGAGATGTAAGCATTAAGTCTATAATAACTACATAAATTGCAAAAAAGTGCAATAAACTACAAAAAATTGAAAATTGTTTGTTTTTTTGAGTGTCTTCATAGTTTTATTTTTGAGATACACCAATTTTTATATACTGCTGGAAAAACAAAAATAAATATTATAATGCAAATTTGCAAAGAAAACAGCACGTGCATCAAAATAAACCATTTCCAGCAGTGCAATTTGAGTTCTAAGCATCCCAGAAACTTTCAGAAAAGCATGAAGTCAAACATGACTTTTAAAAACACCAGTATAGGCATATAAGGCCCGAAGGTAAAAAACAAAGAGGAAATGGTAAAAAAAAAAAAAAAAAAAAAAAGGAAAAGATGCCACTTCCGGTTTCAGCCAGGTAATGGCGGACATACGATAGTTCGCGCTGACGTCTATTCCAACGTAGGAAGTGTTATGAACAGCTGATCGAATTGGCAAAGCGTGTTTCTGGAATATTATGTTTTTGTTGCTGCAAGTGCTTTTTATGCTGTTTTTTGCAAAATTATATGTGGAAGGAAACCGTAATCTAGGACGAGCTGATAGCATAAGAAGTACGTACAACTCCTCCGGTTTCATGTGCAAAAAAAATTATTGCTAGCTTATGTGGTTCCGGTTCTACAGGGATTTAAGAATAGTTACGCAAAACGGAGCGTGCCTGCTCCGTCCGGTTTTAAAGGGTTAACAAACGTTTTTTCTTAACACTGAAAACAAAAGCAAAAACAAACTATTTGCAAACATGAAAACCTGCCAAGGAAATCATCTGGGGAAGTAAGCTGACCTAATAAGTGTTTGTAATGACAGCAGTGCAGACAATCCAGACACTGTTTTATACCGCAAAGCCAACATCCTAGCAACAAGATCTTCTGAACTTTAATGCACTCACGTCCGGGTTCGATAGCAGCAGAAATGAGCGACTGGGCCTCTCTGACTCTCTTCATTGCCTCTTCGATTTCTTTATTAGCTGCGTCAGCCTTCAGCCCAGCATTCAGGTTTATTCCAGCCGCCAGGGGATTCAGTCTAAACAAATAAATATTAATTAGTTGACTCATTACTACAAAACACCAAACAACTGCTTCTTTCCTGTGCCTCAGTTGTTCTACAGTGCCTGGGAAAAATAACAAAAAAAAACCAAAAAAACCCTAATGCACAGCATTCAAAGAAGAATCTTTAAAGAGACTTACTTTGGATCAGTCATCAATTTCAACAGCTGATCAGCAGCCTGTGTGGAAACGGGAGGATAAAGACTGTCAGTTCAAAAAATTCAACATCAACTTCGTTCACTGCCATTTCAGAAAACCTCTCACCTGGGGATTCATACCAGCTCCGGGGAATCCAAACGCTGCCATTGCGTCTATATTGGGTGCACCAAAGGGGTTCGCAAGCTGGAATAAACAAATTTATGTCAGGCCAAGAATATCCAGATACGAACACCTAACAAGTGTTTATGTAATTATATTGGTGCTATCTGATACACTGGGCTAAAAATCACTGTTTATGTGCAGGAGACTAATTTCTCTCATTAGTAAATGGCCAGCGAGGCATGTAAAGATGTGATGTAAGCAGACACGCTTGTACATTAACCGATGCTGATATACGCTTTCGACTTGAAATGACAGAAACATGGCAGAGCCGAAGGAGTAACTGATGGATATGCGAGTGGATGAAGGAAAACCGTAGACAGGATACTACTTGGTCACAACTTGGCAAGAGACCTGTAACTCGGCAACATGACTGACTGCTTCAAACCATTTATACTAAAAGGATGTGAATGAGCACAATACAATTTTGCATTACCACAATCCTACAAATAACCAAAAAAACAGAAATACAACACAGGGAGAAAAAACAGATTTAAAGAACTATACAAACTACCAGATGGACTTTGAAATGATCCAACTTTAAAACAAAAATAAACAAAAGCCAGTTTATCTGTGAGTCGTATTTTTATGTTATCTTACACTCTGCTTCTGTATGTCTTTAAATGCATAATTACTTTTTCAAAAAAGGCTTCAAGTTACATTTTGTCATGTCAGAGCAAAAATGTTAAGACTTTTGGTTATGTCACCATGTAACATCCAACACAGTTAAACAGTGAGGTCTTACAGGTGGATTGGGGATGGGATTAGGCATCGGAAGAAGGCCTCCCCCTGGCAGAATTCCTGCAACAGCATTTGCTGGCGCCAGCAGTGACAAAGCTTTAGCCTCATCTGGAATAGATCCTACAGGGATAAAGAAAAAGGCATTAGGAGAGAAGAAAGGTTTCTCACACTCACACACACACACACACACTACAGAGAAGACATTTTGGAGAAGAAGAAAAAAAGAAAAGTGTTCACATTTCTTCACATGTTTACCTCATACATCAGAGAAGAGTTCCCTTAATTCAACATAATCATTGCAGTGACTTAACTATTGCTGGAATAAATCACACTACTCCAATGAACACTGCCAAGAATAGATCACCTGAATGTGTTTTTTAAGTCATGAACCAAACGTTAGCAAGCACAGCTGCTTCTCCAGTTCGGTGTGCCCTCAATTTTCATTTTTGACGTTTACTGAAACAAGCGATTCACGTTGGCGGCTTCGCTACTAAAAGCACACAGAGAAAAATTGAGATACACACACAACAGAGAGAATTTTAGGGATTCGGCAAGAACACTATGCAAACCATCAGCGTCTACTCACCACAAACACATTTCAGAGAATTAAGTAGTTTATATGCTAAATGGCAATAACAAAATTCAGGCTAGATGCTGCCTGCATCATTATCTCAGTATCCTTACCTGTCACTGCATCAATTAACCAAACCTGGACAGAGGATGGTGGGCTGTTTATTTTAAAATGCAAAATACCTCCAATTTTATCTTTTAAATAACTCATCATCATCATCTCACACTTAATCCATTCACAAAGAGACATCACCTAAATACAGACACACAACACTTAAACACAAGAGCACACTGGAGAGAGAAAATGCTGCAGGAGACAAAACGGTTGGATGGTATTTTCAGCAGGGCCTGGTATACAGGACTGGCTGAGCCAGGAAAAAGAACTGTAAAACACAACAACAAAAGAAAACCACTGTTAAAGAGGATACTGGACCAACACTACGTCATGTCGGTCGCCTATCTCAGAGGATTTATACCAGAGAGTTTTAGTTCCATGTATTTATTAAATCACTGACTAGTTTTCCCCTTGTCAAGTCTGAAATTACATCGTGAGGTTAAAAAAATGTTTTAAATCTACTCTGTGCAGAGTAGGATACTTTGGCATTAGTGTGTTTCTGTATTAACTAAAAAATAACCCAGACCCCTGACATATACAATTATTGCACCAGAGCCAAATAACTGGTGTCACTCCCAAGTTGATGTTTTTTTAAAGCCATTTTAAAAAAGGATGAGGCTGGAAATATTCTTGTTACTGTCCACAAATCTAGTGAATACCATCTCATGCCTGATTTAGACTTCTGTGGGGCTACAACACAACCTACACAAGTGGTTGCATTACCAGCATTTATACTAGTGCTGTAGCATTATGTGTAAATTACTGTGTAATCATGTCCCCGTGTTTTACATGCAGTCCCAGCTGATATAAAAGTGTAAAATTCGGGGATCTTTTCCCCTCCTGGGTCCCTGTTCTTTGTTTAGGTCATATAAATCCAATCCATTATTATTATTATTATTATTATTATTATTAATCACATGCAAACATATTTTCCCTCCAACTTCTGAAAGGCACAGGAGGAATCGGCGGTGCTGAACAGACCAACTGCCGTACTTGCGGCTGTATTTCATTATGTTATCATAACATCATGTGATAGCATAGATTTCCGACACAGATTTCCAGCTGATCAGGTGTAAAACTTTCAGAAATATATTGTCTGACTTCTATAGAAGGCGAAGTGGTTTCTTTAAAAACATACAGTAAACGTAAAGTACTGTGGTGTTATTCAAACAACTGTCCATCTGCTGGGGACTACTTCCAGCTGTTGTTTAAAATCTGTTTGCGTATGCTAGTGAGCTTTTAAAAGAGCATGATGGTGCCTGAGGCACCGACTCTAAATAAACTGCATCAGCTGCAATTACCCTAATGAACAAACAAGCATTTACTAGTCTGTGGACTTGAATGGCCTCTGTGTTTTCATGGGATTTGTTGACATTAAAAAGTGATGAATACAGGCAGCCTTATCTGCAAAGGAACCGTTTCTTAACCATAAAACACTTGACCAAGCAGCCCTCAAAAGTGTCGTTAAATAGTGCAGAATTTGCACAGTTTCAGGTTATGCCCTAGAAATCTGAACTTTATTCTCAAAACCACCTGGGAAAGACAATTTAGACAGAAGGAAAGAAAAAGATAAGGCAGAGAAAGAAAAAAAAAGGAGACAAAATGAGAAGAGAGAGAGAGTGGTGGGGCTTGTATGCTTGCTGGCCTTTGCAAATGTCTACAATTCCCTGTTGGCAGGCAGAGGACCACTTTCAGCCATCAACGAGGGGGCTGCTTTTGCCTTCTTCACTACAAAAATTACACACACACACATACACACACACACATACACACACACAAATAACAGAGAGAAGTTTAACAGGGGGTAGTCCAATATATGGTGAGAATAAAAATGCATTTGGTTAAGCATTTCAAGTACATCACTTCTGAACTTTGACGTGCCTGTGGTGCCCACAGATGTCCGTGTCCTGGTGTGTAAAGCAGAGTTTGGTACACTGAACTTTCTGAGCGCAGAGCACATTACTGTTTTAGTCAGAGACAAACACCTCACTATATCCCGAACAACTTAACTCCAGGTAACAAAGATCTGTTTAAGGGCTGTTGTGCTAAAACAGATGTGCAATGCGCTAAAACAGTTCACCACAAATCTGACAGCAGAAGTCTGCTTTAAACACACGAGCCATGGGAGGAGAATGGCAATACCACTTTCATTCAAAATTATCTTACAAAGCTCATATAAGCATGCCAGGGTGAATTCACAGGAGACGGGAAAAACCAACAACAACCTTTTTACAGTCTTCACCATCACAATTCATTCAACAATGAGCTTTTATACAAACCTTCAGCAAACGGGACCACTATCAGCGCTCTGTCCACAAACACCGTGTTAGTCAGATGCTGAGACACACCAACAGACTCTGGCTCCTGGAACTTCACAAAGCACACCCGGGATGTCACCGGCATCGGCGAATCACTATAGAAGTGGTAAAGAAGAATGACGTGAATAAACTGCAATAAAAAACATTTTTACAAAATCTAAACACTGCCTTCTTCAGCCTCTTTTGACATCCCGATGTAACACTGAAAATGCAAGGAGCAGCAATAGCAAAGGTAGAGGAGTTTAAATGCCTGGTATCAACCGTCCAAATCAACGGTTCACAAGTGAGGTGGAGAAAAGATTGGAGCAGGGTGGAGTGGATCGAGACAAATGTCAGGGTGATTTGTGACAGAAGGATGGTGGCGAGTGTGAAAGAAAGAGTACATAAAACTGTAGCGAGACCTGCTATGATGTATGGTTTAAATACAGTGGCACTGACAAATAGACAGGAGGCTGACGCTAAGATGTTAAGACTTTGACTTTGAGTGAGCAGGATGGACAAAATCAGAAATGAGTACATCAGAGGGACAGCACATGGAAAAAAGGATTAGATGATTTGGACACATCCAGAGGAGGGACAGTGGATATATTAGACAAAGGATGTTGAATATGGGGTTAACAGGCAGGAAGAAAATTGGGAAACCAGAGAGGGGGTTCATGGATGTAGTGAAGGAGGACATGCAGAGGATTGGTGTGACAGAGGAGGATGCTAGGGATAGGGTGAGATTGAGGCAGATGGTCAGCTGTGGATCCCTAAAGGGAGCAGCTGGAGAAAAATGTTCTGACAACCTGATGTGGTCCAGTGGCACCCACATGCTGTGTTAGTCACTTAAGTGTGGATTTGACACACAACAAATATATGCAGACAGAGTTTAAAGCAGATTTATAACATACACTTTAAACAGAAATAAATACAAGTACCCAGGCCCTGACTGTATACTTTAGAAGAAAATTTACTGTGGACTGTTGGAAAGACTCAATTATAATAAAAACGACTGGGGAAAGGAGGGGTAGAGTTACCCTAACCCTAACAAAACATCGGAGAGACCGTTAAAGTTAATACAACTAATTTTTTCCCTTCCTCACAAGCTCGACTTGGGCGTGTTTATATTAATTATTAATCACTTTTGCTGCATTTCCTCTCATTGATAAAAAGAGACTTTACATACAAAAACAAGACACTACGGTAACATTAAGACCCAAATAAACACCGAGGGGGACATATTAAGCCTAAATACACGTTTTTATCCCTGTTTAGGAAATAAGCAGACTATCAAAGACATAAATAGGATTAACGCGTGGTTCATGAGGCCAGACAAAGACATTATAAAAGACTGCGGGCCAGGTCACTGGTTAGCATGGACCTACGCGTGCATGCTAACCAGTCTACCGAGTCTACTAGGAAACACGACCAAACAGCCTGTGACTACATTATTAAAGCCGCTAATAAGCCCACAGACAATTATTTAACTTACTCTGGCGGAAATAACTTCAGCTCTTCGATGGTTCCCAGAAAACCGAACAGTGTCCTCATCTGCTCCGACGTTGTGCTCGGCGACACGTTCGTCACCTGCACCACCTTCGTTGTGTAGCTCATTTTCCCGACTTAAAACCTTTGTAACACAACCGCCAACTGCTAGTATTAAACCACACTACCGTCTATCCGCTGGTTACAAAACCAATTTTGGGTTTGTTTGGTAATTTTTTTCTGGGTATGCGCTAACTAGCTACTACAGCAAACTGTAGTGTTTCGCCGCCATCTTGGGTAATTATGGATTGAAATGCGCATGCGTGTAGCGAAACTGGCGGTTTTAAAGTAAATTATTAAAACAGCACATCATCAAGTCTGGAGGCTACTTTACCTTCATGGAATAAATCGACCGTCCTTTAAAGAAGCGTACTACAAGGTTTGTACTATGTAGAAATACTTTTGACCTGCAATTAATTACCAGCAGAGGGCGCCCTTTATTTTCATTTTTACATACAAGACGTGGCCAAAGCGCCTCATTCAGTATTGATGAGAAGTTTTGGGGAAACTACTTAAGCATAGCTTTTCAACCAACCAACATGAATTAATCAAATCTGGTCAACTAAAGCTATTTAGAAAAAGCCATCCCTTTATGACATTTCTAAAAGGTTTTATTGCGTTTAACTGGGAATATGATTGCCATTCAATGTGGAATAAAGTTGAATAATAATATCTATCAATCTATCTTGCCTTCATCTGCCTTCACACGCATAATTCATCCCAAAGGTGTTCTGTTCTGGTTGAGGCCAGGTGCAGGCCAGTCAAGTTCTTCACACCAAACTTCCTCATCCATGTCTTTATGGATCTAGCTTTGTGCACTGGTGCACACTCATGTTGGAAGAGGAAGGGGCCATCCCCAAACCGTTCCCACAAAGTTGGGAGCATGTAATACTTCATTGTATGATGAAGATTGACCAAATCTCCAGAAAAACAACCCTAGACCCTAATGCCCCCTCCACCTAATTTTAGTTTTTGCACAGTGCATTTAGACAAGTACAGTTCTCCTTGCAGCCTCCAAACCCATACTCGGCCATCAGATTGCTAGATGGAGAAGCGTGATTCGTCACGACAGAGAACATGTCTCCACTGATCTAGAATCCAGTGGCAGCGTGCTTTACACCACTGCATCCAAAACTTTGCATTGCAATGTAAACTACTGCAAGGCTTGCAGCTGCTCAGCCACCCATTCCATGAGGTTCTCTAATACCATTATTATCTGCCAGGCTGCTATGTTGAATAGAGGCAACGATAACATGATGTATGACAGATTTCCTGTGTCTGTCCTTAAGGCAGCAGAGCTGAGTCAGTCTGTTAGAGAAGCTGCTCCACTACCTGTCCAGTAATAATAATAATAATGGATTGGATTTATATAGCGCTTTTCAAGGCACCCAAAGCGCTTTACAATACCACTATTCATTCACTCTCACATTCATACACTGGTGGAGGCAAGCTACAGTTGTAGCCACAGCTGCCCTGGGGCAGACTGACAGAAGCGAGGCTGCCATATCGCGCCATCGGCCCCTCTGGCCAACACCAGTAGGCAAGTAGGGTAAAGTGTCTTGCCCAGGGACACAACGACCAGGACAGAGAGCCCAGGGATCGAACCGGTGACCTTCCGGTTACAGATGCGATTCCCAACCCCCTGAGCCACGGTCGCAGTAAGTGGTACAGAGGGTGGTCAGGATTACAATGATGGATTACAGTTTTTTCAGTGACCTCCTCTCCACCACAGTTTCAAAAGGGTCCAGTTTGCAAGAAATCACAGAGCCTGTCTTCCTCTTCAGATTATCCAGTCTGCTGGTGTCTCCAGCTCAGATGCTGCTTCCCCCTGCAGAACACAGCAAAGTACAATGTGCTCACTACAACTGAGTGATAGAAAACCTTGAGCACACATTGAAGGATTTCAGTTTCATGGGAAAAAGAGGCTGCTCATCCACTTTTTTTTCACAGCCTCTGTGTCAGTCTTCAAATTCATCCTCTTGTCGTCAGGTACTCCTCCACCACATCAACATCTTGACCCGTGTTTGTCGTGGGACATGTCTCTTTGTTCTGAAGTCAAACACCATCGCTCTGTTCCATTTCACATTTAGAAATGGTAAATGGTCTGCATTTGTATAGCGCTTTTCTAGTCCCTAAGGACCCCAAAGCGCTTCACACTACATTCAGTCATTCACACACACACTGGCGATGGCAAGCTACATTGTAGCCACAGCTGCCCTGGGGCACACTGACAGAGGCAAGGCTGCCGGACACTGGCGCCACCGGGCCCTTTGACCACGAGTAGGCAAACATGGGGTTAGTATCTTGCCCAAGGATATTTGGCATGCAGCCAGGAGACAGCCTGGGATCGAACCACCAACCTTCTGATTAGTGGCTGACCTGCTCTGCCACCTGAGCTACAGCCACCCCGGATTTGAAGCAGATGATTCCTCCCAGAACTCTCAACAAAATCATCAACTTGTGCTCTGTACTCTTTTTCCTGCTCATCACTAATAGATCCATCCACTCCACAATCAGTCAGAGTATTTCTGTGGGTGGCATGTACTGCCCATCAATAAAACAGACAGTCTCACATACTGCAGCCTACCTGTCAGGTAGTCAGTAATCCATGAGATTGTGGACATGTTTCATCTCTGTCAGTCGCAGCTCCTGGCTTTTGTTACATGAACTCGAGAAATTAAAGATGGTGATCCTCACCTTGCAGTCATTACTATCTAGATGGAAGAAAATATAAAAGTGGGAGTGGTGTGACGACTTGTTTCACTCATGAGTTTAATCTAAAGCAGATATTTTAGACTATGTTTACTGACTTTCAGTAGACTGCGTGGTTTAAATGGCCTCAGCAAGTGGAAGAAGTTGGTGAAGTTGTCTGGAGATGGATCTGATTGGTGATAATGACCTGCAGACTTGACATCTGAACAAACGCCACCGGGGGGATGTAGCTGAGAGCCAGAGGAGGGAAAAGTAACATTGTTTTTTCAATGAAGCTGAAACTATTTTGTTCCAAAGCTTACAACTTCCTCAAAAATGAAAAACTCCAGATCTAAGTCATACTTGCAGTCTCGTGAGTGACTTATTCTAAAATCTCACTGATCTGGTTTTGATTTTGAAACATTATCTTACTCTTTCTTTTCTTACAAAATCATTAAATTTAAAATACAAAAAAGAAAAAATATGAAGCCAAATTACTGTCGCAGATCCTCCCTGAGGCCATATTGCGTTTCTAACAGTTTTTTTTAGCTGTGAGATCTCGTTTAAAGACTTCCGGTGTTAACAGCTGAATGAGCGCACTTTGGATTTGGTAAGTTAAATTATTGCAGACACTGCAGCTGTATCAGCATGAACACATTTGCAGTAACAAATCATAGTTATCAGCTGCATCGACTCTTTCCAAAGCTCATCCAGTGTATCTTTTTTATATTTTCACAATGAAATGCAATCACATCATAAAAAGGCTCTGTTTTAAAAACTCTTTTTAAAACCGACCAGCTTCTCAGCATCGATCCACTCTGTTGCCTGGATAAAATAAGGTGCAGCAACATCATACACTAAAAGATCTCTTTTCAAGCCCAGAGTCTCATTAGGCTTAAATTATAACGAACAGTCTACCACCTGTTTTTCAGTTCAAAGACGAGTACTGTCTCATTTGTATTGGCGATATCATCAAAGACCCTTTGCTGCTTGTGATCGCAGAGATTAAGCTGCTTCACTGTGACTGCATGCTCTAAGGCATCAATCCTCAAAAAATCTCTAATCTTTGCTGTAGTGTGCTCGATATTAGTCCATTTTGATGCTCTGTGCAAAACATCGTAAAGCAGTCTGCAGACCGACGGAGGTTAAAAGGTGTTCTTTGTTCTTTGTTTCTTTGCATTTACTTGACTTGTTTGTGGTCTAATCAGCTGTTTGTTTCTTATACTCACTGTTTTGGGTGCTGATTATATTTGATGTGTTACTTGTGCCGACCCCTTAAAGCTGCGATTATCACCGTAGAACTCAGAGATGCTTTGTTTCTTTCCCGAGAGATTATCACAACAATGTTTTGCGTTTCCCATTCATTCAGTTCATGTGTTGGCTGAGGCCGCTACGTCACACAGCAGTGACACAACTCTCCCCTAACGATGTTTTTTCCCCCAGGAGGAACAATACAGCGTTTGTCTTCAGGCTAATCCTTTTCACCTGGATTATCGCGGCGCTGAGACAAGCAAGTTAAGGCATTTTGTGCTCAGAGCAAAGAACAACTGGCCACATTTCATCCAAGTAGCATTTTGTATAACAGTCATTGTACAATCCCACCTAATGATGGCAGTGAGGTTTAACTGAAAACATTTCTTATTTTTATTTAGTACTAATGTCCAAAAAGGAAAAAAAATAGTGTTAAAGTGCAGATAGCAGTGAGTTTATCTCGTTTATTTCATTTCTGGGTCAAAATTACCTGTTTGTTTTCCCCACATACTGACTACTGACTGCAGTCCTGGGATGAGACTACGTAACTACACCACATAGTTCAGTAGCTTGTAGAATCACCTTTAGCAGCAATAAGTTGAAGTAATTGTTCTCTGTGCGACATTATCAGTTTTTCACACTGTTGTGGAGAAATTTTACCCCACTCTTCTTTACAACGTTGCTTCAGTTCATTGAGGTTTGTGGGCAGCTCTCTAAAGGTCCTGCCACAAAAATTTCACTCAGGTCAAGGTCTGGACTTTGACTGGACCACTACAACATCTTTTTTTCAGCCATTCTGTTGTAGATTTGCTGCTGGGCTTCAGATTATTATACTGTTGCATGACCTAGTTTTGGACAAGGTTTAGCTTTTGAACAAATGGCCTCACATTTGACTGTAGAACACTTTGATATACAGAGAAGTTCATGGTCAACTCAGTGATGAAAGCTGCCCAAGTCCTGTGACTGCAAAACAGCCAAAATCAGCACCCCTCCACCGCTGTGCTACACGGTTAGTATGAGGTGTTTGAGATGATATACGGCACAGCATTCCAGGAGTTTTATGGTTTGTTCAGAGGACACTGAACTAAACTGTGCTACCATGTTCTTTTTACTGCTTCCAAACAGTCTTATACTGCCATGAACTTTAACATTTAACATGCTAACTGAGGCACACAGTCTGACCTTTGGGTCCACTCCTGGGAAAATTGTGGCATTGTGTTAACACATCTCAATGCTCCACACTTGCAAACTGCCAAAACCCTTAACAGAGATGCTCACAGATTACTGATGATCATTTAGAGTTCATTTGATTAGCAGCACCTAGCTTCTACTTACCCTATGTATACTTGAAATTACAAATATATATATATATATATGTGTATATATATATATATATAAATAATAAAAATAGTGAAAGTGTAGTAAATAAACGTTTTGGCACTAATACGGACTGCACTTGGGATAAAAGCTGCAGTTTAGATGAGAAAGGTGTTTGTCTTTATTTCACACAATGTGCAAAACCAGTGTTATGTGGATCAAAGTTCCTACTCTTGATATTTCTTCATAATGGGTAGTTGACCTACATGTTGCATGAGTGCTAAAATAAACTGTCTGTGACTCAGCATAATTTTATCTTAACACATAAATCAGAACAGTTAAAAATAGAAAGAAAAAGAAATCCAACACACAAGCGCAACTCTCTTGCCAAGCATCACTTTTTGCAGTGCATATTCTCTGCAATAAATCCAGGTTGAGAGGTGTAGCCATTGGGTCACCCAAAAGAGGATATTGGCACAATGGGATACTTGTTCCCCATGTGACATGATTGGCTGGGACAAAGCTTTACAGCGCTGATTGCGTAGATTGACTCCGAGGAGGCCCAGATGAATAAATACCTCAAATCCAGTGGGAGATCAGAGGCTTCCAGTTACTAAACCAGTGACCACAGGCTTTTGTTACAGTTTGCTTTTTGTTTTATATTCAACAGCAAAAAGGAACCATGGTCAGCCGGTCAGTTTCTAATGAATTCAATTGTATCTCATATTTCTTATTACATTGAATGACAACCAGGGTAGTATATTTTTTTTTAGTAAATGAACTAAAGTGATTTGTTAGGTGAAAACTGTGATGTTTGTTTCAGTACTTTTTGGAAATTAATGCAATTAATTATTTCGACTTTTGGTAGAGAAATCTTTAACCTAATCCTGTGGTGTTTTTCACAGGATTAGGTAGTCAGGAGCAGGTTGGGTTTCTGACCAAAAACGAGTCATCAGAAATCCTAAAATTACTTAAAGCTGAAAGATATATAATTTTAACCTGCTGAAAACCCACCGGCAATAATTTCTTTGGCAGTGTTTCTTGATGTCTTTGCTCTTTTGTTTTTCTTTTTTTTTTGCTAACAGATTTGAACACCCAGCTGGTGGCTACAGGAAGCTTTTTGAGACATGTGAAGAGCTGTCTGAGACTCTTCCCACAACAGTCACAGGTTTGTTTACATCTTTCAGACAGAAATAGACTAGACACGAAAATAACTCTTTTGACATTTGCATATCGACTGCACTTTTCTGGAAATTTATACTTTCTAGTTTATAACTCAGCACACTGAAAACTTTCTGTGATCCACGTTCATTCTGCAGGCCGGATTCCTTCGTTTCTGAAGGGAAGCCTTCTCCGTCTGGGACCCGGGCTTTTTGAGGTCGGAGATGAACCCTTCTATCACCTCTTCGATGGCCAGGCCCTCATGCACAAATTTGACTTCAAGAATGGCCAGGTCACCTACTTCCGGAAGTAAGGCGGTCATTTATCAGTGTCACATATTGCATTTGAACTGCAGCTGAGTAGCCGGTGCTGTGTGATTTCGTGTGAAACATCATATGTTGCCATAAGACTGTCATGGATTACCTAACACAGTCGAGCCCGTTTGCTCATGTTGAGTCCTGACATGAGATTTTGACTCATAGATACCAAACACATTTGCATGAAACACTCCTGCAAACACATGATTGTTTCGTTTAGCACATTCCCGTCCACTTGCTGCATGTATGGGAAGTCTGAGGGGTAGTCAATGACCCATAAAGTGGATTTTGCATTTGCTCTCTTTCCTCCATTTAGGTTTATCAGGACAGATGCTTATGTGCGAGCCATTACAGAGAAGCGTGTGGTCATTACTGAGTTTGGTACATTCGCATATCCTGATCCCTGCAAGAATATCTTCTCCAGGTTGGTTCCACATGCACACATTTGAGAGCAAATTAGAAATGTCTCAAAGTTTGCAAATATTTGCAGTATTTTACCTCCAAGTTCCCTTTTTTTTTGTTACAATCCTGTATAGACTGCAGTCTTTTCCTGTTTTTTCTTCGGCTGCAGGTTTTTCACTTACTTCCAAGGTGTTGAGGTCACAGACAACTGCTTGGTGAATGTCTACCCTATTGGTGAGGATTATTATGCTGTAACAGAAACCAACTACATCACTAAAGTCAACACAGATACGCTGGAGACTCTGAAGAAGGTACATCAATAAAGTACATTGAATCTGAGACGAGAGCGAGCAATCTTTTCACCTTTACAGCTTTCGCCTTTATTTTCTGTGCAGGTCGATATGTGCAGCTATGTCAATATTAATGGAGTGACTGCCCACCCTCATATTGAGAGGGACGGTACTGTGTATAACATTGGAAACTGCATGGGGAAAGGAGCATCACTGGCCTACAATATTGTCAGGATCCCACCCACGCAGAAAGGTTTAGATAAACCCCGCATGCAACAATAACACAAACACTTGGTTTTTCATTAAATTCAGTTCATTTTGTACAAAAAATAAGATGGAATTTAAAAAGATGGTTATTTTCC